TGATGCCCAGAGGAATGGAATACTTTTCCAAAAGTCACCCAATACTGGAAAAGGGGTTTGAAGCTCAGACTCCACAGCCAATACTTATTCTACTGGACTAAGCAGCATCCTGTATTGTTCAGAGAGATGTCATTGTTGGGAAAGTCCTGGCTGTGGTGAAAAGCCTTCTTGGATTCAAATTCCATCGGCTGTATAGTAAATAAATGACAGGTTACATATGTAAAGCTTGACACTATCTTACAGAAATCCTGTGGAAATTTTTCTTGACAATCATCTCAAGCATTCAAAAAATTATAACTTTCATAAGCATAAGGTACCTTCCTAAATGGGATCCTTAACTACTTCAAGGAGTTCACCCTGCTTATCCACACAGGAAAAATAAAACAAAACAAAAACAAAACAAAACAAACTTCAAAACAAATGGATGTAGAATGCCTTTTGTCCAGACCAGGAAAAGCATTTGAATAGACACTCAATGAGGCTTATCTAAGAGTCAGTAGCACAAACACTGAAAATGGAAAATTAGTCAGAGCCAGCACTGAATGAAAGGAGAAGTAAGAAGCCTTTGAGTAATAGCAATATTCTCTTAATAACCCTGAAAATAAAGGCTCATCTTTTTTATACCAATCTTCTTCCAGTGACACTGCGTGTCTCTGTGTTAGGGAATCATACATCTGGAGTGGGGAAGGAAGCTCTGAAGAAATGAATCAAGAGAACATACAGAGGGCAATGCACAGATGCACTGTGGGAGTGTGCAGGCTGCAATACACTGCAGAATTGCACAAGATAATCGATATAAAGAATGTTATAACATGCATGTGTAACCAGGAGGAAAAAAAAATTGGTCACGTGAGAGGAAGAAATACATTGTCTGATCCATTGGCATCCACATCAATTGGAAAATGAATTGATAATTCATTCCTCAAATTATGAAATGGGGGAAGGCACACCCAGTTCATTGGGTACTCAAGAACAACCACGATTGACAGTAGGAAATAAGGCTGCAAGGCCACTTTAGTAAGGCACAAAGATAAGTAGCCACAGATTAGAGCTGGAAGCACTAGGCAGCATAAAGCCAATGGAGATGGAAGAAGGCTTAGGGGCAGGACTTTGAGGTCTCATTTTTATAGGATTTTAGGGAAAAGCAGACCAACTCCTATCTGTGCCACCTTGGGGTTAAGTTCATTAACATATCCAAATCATCTCAAAGTATTCAGCATTTTTTGATGTTCTACCAGTCTGAAATTGTAGAGGTCTAGAATTTGTGTGGAATTTACATGGCATAGGAGTAGAACACTGATAGCAGCACCTAGGTGGCTTCTGCTCATTTAGCAGGATGTGAATGTCATTAGGATGTGAATATGAGTTAATACATAATACAGTTAGTATGTAAATTGTGCTGCTTTCATCTTTGGGATGGTTTGTACCGAACTGCCAGATTCCCCTTAGCGATCTTATTTCCTGTTATTGCCCCTTTATGGTGGTTTCTTATAAATTTACTATACTGACTAAAAGCTGAGGAGGTGGTTAGGGGGAACAGAGCAAGATACAATTTTAATGAAAAAAAAAGAATATGAGAATGACCTGCAGAAACACAGCTAGAGCCCCTGCAGCAATATTATGTGAAGACATGGAAGAGACTCTCATGGACGAGATAGCCATGGATGGGTCACAATTTTCAGTGCTAAAAAGGAATGGACAAATAGATGAGATTGTAGAACTATTGGAGTGTCAGTAAGAGTGATGTGAGAGGGGAAGCTAGGTGGTGCAGTGGATAGAGCACTGGCCCTGAAGTCAGGAGGACCTGAGTTCAAATATGGCCTCAGATCAAACCCTTGACACTTACTAGCTGTGTGACCTGGGCAAGTCACTTAACCCCAATTGCCTAAAAAAATTAAAAAGAAAAAAGAAAAAAAAAAGTGATGTGAGAAAGGCAGCATGGCTGTGGTGTCAGAAAGACCTGGATCCAAGAACTAGCTATATGTTCCTGGACAAGTAATTCCCTTCATTTCCTAGTGCTCTAGGCAGCTATCTAAAGCTCATCATTATAAATAAACTACCATTTGTAGGGAGTTCTTTATACTAATGAAATCTCTCAGAATTAGAGATGACAGATAGACAACCAAGAGGTTACCTACAAAACAATAAAAGACTCAGAAAAGAAGACTTTGTGCAATGGGTTGGAGGGACATGGATGAACATCACCCAGGATCAGTTGGGATAGGGGGAGAGGGTTAGCTTTGCACCATTTGAGGAGTAGCTGCATTGATAATATCATGGACTTATTAAAGTCATTATAGACATTAAAATATCAGAAAGATGACTGAAATAAGAAGAAAACTGGCTTTATCACAGGAAAGATCCTTATAAAAAAGTAACTTTCCATGTAGTATAATCTTAAGATTATTTTTTTCAATGTGGAATAGAATAGCTAGGGCACTTTTCCATTCCACTAAGTGGGAGGTAGAGTGGCCATTTTCTCCTATGACTCAGCATTTCTTCAAATATATCCAAAGGAGGCTTTCTAGCAGATGTGAAGAGAGTGTGAACACAAGGGTTTTATTTAAGTTTGGAGTAAAAGCAAAATAAAACAGCAAAAAAGGTATTGCTATTGTACCCACAGTCAAATGTTTTTTAATTGACAACATGTAAATGTGCATACATAGATTTTGCCAAACAGCATTGAAGCAAAAATGGGTCTCTACATCATCCCATCATCAGAAAACTCTAGGGAATCTTCCCACTATTCAGAATATGTAATCAACCAGGATTCCTTGTTTCATGATCACAGCAGGTAAGACAATTTACTGTATTTGGGCAGATAGTTTATTCATTAAAAAAAAAATGTTTTTCAGGGGCAGTTAGGTGGTGCAGTGGATATAGCACTGGCTCTGGAGTCCGGAGGACCTGAGTTCAAATCCGATCTCAAATACATAGTACTTCCTAGCTGTGTGACTCTGGGTGAATCACTTAGCCCCAGTTGCCTCCCCCCCCCAAAAAAAATAAGTTTTTCTCTGTTCACATATTTATTTTGAGAACAAAATTAAAATACTCCTTTCTTTGAGTATGAAGATTCCTCATGGCTTCATGAAGATTCATATCAAATCCATAGTAGCTACAACCCCAGACTTGGAGTCAAGGAGTCAGGAAGGCCCGAGGTTCATAATTCTCCAAATCAAGGGCTCTTAACTCATCATCTATGAATGTGTGTTTTTCCCAATATTTTAATAACTATAACTCAATATAATTGATTTCCTTTGTACTTCTTTTCGTTGCAGAGAGAAGTTCCATCAGCCTTGCCAGACTGCCACCAAGAAGGTCTATGAGATCTAAGTTAAGAATGTCAGCTCTGAATGGTGAATGTCATACAAGAATATTTCTTTTTTTCCTTCATACTTCCTTCTTTTGTTAGCTTACCAATGTTCACCACATCGAATATTGTATGTCTAAGAACGACACATATCTATATTTCTGGGCCCAACTATTTGCCTGAGACCCAGGGTTTTTTTGTTTGTTTGTTTTGCTTTGCTTTGTTTGTTTCAATTTTCAGCTATGTGCTAGACCTCTTGACTCAATGTTCTACTGACATGTTAATCTCATCAGTTCTCAACCAAATCCATCCTCTTCCTTTCTTTTATTCTTAATGGTGAATCCATTCTCTGTTAATCAACCTTGGATTAATTTTTGACTCATCCTTCTCTTCCCAGCACCCATCCAATTATTTTTTTTATATCCTATGAACTCTTTTTCAACATAACTCTGCTTCAAGCCCTCCCCCTTCAGGCTCACTGTTCTAGCTAAGGCATCACCACCATCTCTTGCCTGGATTGGTGCATTTGTGTCTTTGAATCTTACTTTCACTCCTTCTTCCTCCGTTCCATTTGGCACTACATCCTGTTGCCAGAGGAACCTTCTAAAAGAATCACTCTCTTGTTGTCATGTCTCTGATTTAAAATGTCAAAGTTCTCCAATATTTATAGAAATCCAGACTCCTTTGTTTAGGGTTGAAGACCTCTGCCACTTGAGTCAAACTTACTTTTCTAGACCCATTGTTCCCATGAGATCAAAATGGCGCACACTCAATCGTGGCGTGTTTTCTTACCTCTTATTTTCATCCTAAGGTGGAATGCCTTCCCAACTCTGCTAACCTAATGCTTATCCCCTTTTCATGGGACTTTAGAGACCATCTAGTCCAACTCCTTCATTTGGCAAGAGAGGAAATTGACACTCAAAGAGGTTAAGTCTAGTATCACACAGCAAGTAAGTGTAGAGAATCAGGATTTGAACATAAGCCTTCCAAATTTCATGTCCCACAAACTATGCACTGAGCCAAATGTCATCTTCTCTGTGGCACCTTCCTGATGACTCACAGCCAGAAATGATTTATTTCTCCTCTAAATTTATTGTGTTTCTCTTATTGTTTTTTTTCTATATGAAATTGGTGTTGTAATTGTTTGTAGCCATGACTTGTCTCCTTGATGAATTTGTAAGTTATCCATGAGTCCTTCCCATAGCCTTCCTCATAGCTACCACAAAATCCAAGGATCTAAGGCTAGGACACGATGATAGTGAACCTTTCTGTAAATATGTCTTGATGGGAATATATGACTCTACTCTTTGAATGAAGGTACAAAGAAAGAAAGGAAAATAAAAGTGTGCTTCTGCAAAAATATTTTATTCCCTAGTTTGGAACTTGATTCTGCCCAATCCCAAAGGCATTTTCCAGTCATTAGTTACGCCTAGGTTTACTAATTTATAAAACTTCCTAAGACACCATTGGACATGGGCCCTTTCCAACAACTACCCTTAATGACATATCCTAATCAGTGTTTTAGGGGTTCTGTGTGAATTGAATTCAAATCCCTTAACATGATTTTTTTTCCAAGATTGACTTAGACCCTTCCTGGGATGAATTAAATCAGAGTTATAATGAGTGAGCTGGAAAACAAGGGACTAGATCATTCACCCTCTAGTTAGCTAGATGTGGGAGAATTACTTACGTCTTTGTCAGCAAATGTGTCCTCATAAAAACCAAGCATCAGAGCAAACTGCACAAGGGCATACAGCTGGAGTGAGCCAGACACATGGGTGGCATAAGGGACTTCTTTTCCTGTGACCTACAGCAAGGAGAGAAATGTCCTTCTCATCAGCTAAGCCCATCTTTGGTAATAAATCTATGTTGTATAGGTCCTCATCAAACAAGGCAGGGACATTGTGGGAATGACCACTTCTTTTTTCAAAAAAAAAAAAAACGAAAATAGCAATTCCTAGTTGGAATGATATTTAATTGTTAGAAGTTCTAGTTCTAATTTGAACACAACCACAACAAATGTGGGGCCACTGGGTCTCTGCTTCAAACTATTGACATCTCTGAACTTATCAGGCAGACCTCTACCTTCTGCAGGCCCCTGTCTGCTATCCCTCTCCCCTACTTTTCTAAGGAATTAGAGGTCAAAGTTAGCAGTTCCACAACAGCTAGATTTGAGCTCTCAGGAGCAGTCTCATCATTCTCCCAGTATGACTTCACTTAACGAGGGCAGGTTATTCTATCCCTCTCCTCAAACTAAAGTGTTCTGCTCACAAGAAGTCCTGGTTAGCAACCACTGCCAAGTGTCTCAGTCTCCATAGTCGTAAAATGTTAGGGCTGTATCTTAGCTGACCTGGCCAGTGCTGTTCAGCTCTACCAGGTCAGTCACTGATGAATTTCATCTTAAAATAATAAAAATCACCAAAGAACAGAGCAGTATCTCATCCTGATCATGAAAATGACTGAGCAGTGGATGGCCATGGCCAGTTGGCCTCTTTCCCCACCTATCAATATTAACATCGCAGTGAATTCTAGCATCGGACAAGGGGAAGGTGGGATAAGCAGCTACTAAAAGAGGAGATGAGTGAAGGCAGCAGAGGCAAGTTCTCTCCAGCTGAAGAAAGCAACTGGGCCAGCTGCATTTGGGCAGGCACAAAAGCCTGCAAACGCGACCAGTCATGTAATATTGAATTTATGTCCAGGTTTTTAAAACAATGCTACAGCTTGACCAGGACACCAAGTCTTATGGACTAAATGGTGTAAGCCTTGCTTTACATTAGTCCCATCTTGGCCTTTGATGTGACTACTTCCGGGTCTTTAACCCTTTTGCCAATACAGAAGCATCCCCTTTCCTTCTTCCTCTCTCTTCTATCCACTGCAGCAGATTATCTCTCCATTTCATGACTAAACATGGCTACTCCATTCCTTTAATCCTCACCTATGCAGGGACAACTCTCCCCCCTCTACTTAGGCCTGTCTTCTCTCCCCAAATTAAGTTGATGCTAACTAGACCCACAGATCTTATTCAGCTCCCAACCTTGTTATTCTCCAACCTTGACCCTACCAGAGGCTGGAAGGTAGACAATTATCAAACTAGACAGTTAATTGGGACTGAGTAGTCAACCATTCTAGATGAACCAGGCCTTATGTTGAATTCACTTTACCTGAATTATCTAATTGTTATCTACGCTACTGAGCAACATAGCAATTATTAATCTCTTTTCATGGCGCAAGAGCTGAAATGGGGAACTTTGACTTACACTGAATGTGTCTTTCCTAGTTTTATTTACAAAAAGTAAATGCTAGCTCCTTCAGGGCAGGGACTCATTTATTGTCACCTTCATAGCCTCAGTGTCTAGCAAGCATAGCAGCCAGATTAAGAAATTCTGGTTTATTAAATGGCACTTACATCTTAAACAATTCTTATTTCTTACAACAGATAGAACTAGACTGGAATTGCAAGGGAGCTCCCCATCAGAATTGCTTTGTTTTATATTACCCTTAATTTTCTTTATTCAAAAAAGCAATCATAACATTCAGAAAAAATGCTTGAGATTTTGAAAAGTCTTCTTGTTGGGGGGGCAAGCAGAAATTTAAATTCACCTCTCCTTTCTCAATTCCCCAATTTTCAAAGTCTCCATGTTGCTTACTTCTTTCTAATTTGCAGTAAATGGCTCCTATAGAGTAGAAAATTGCTCTGAGATAGTAAATCAGGATGTGGGAATTCTCCTTACCTCAGGGATTTCCTCAAGAAGACCAAGCCTAGGTTTGCCAGGACTCCATCCTGGTCCTTTGAATATGACAGACAACTTGTTCCACAACCCAGGTGTGATCCAAAATGTGGTCCAAATATAATGCATGTGATGAAACTGTGGAGGAAGAGGAAATATAGCCACTTTTCCCCCCTTAGGTGAGGAAAAGTTTAAATAAATATGTAACCAAAGCATTCTATTTCCTTTCACGATTACATGGAATTTGGGGTGAATGTTTCTTTCTCTTAAAGCCTTTTGACCACACCAATAAATTCAGCAGTTGAACACCAAGTGCCTCAGAAGGGGAAGCTTTTTGAATGAAACAATGTGCATGCTGGGAAAAGCATTTTTAATAAATCCCAATTGTATTCTCCACAATGTTTCTCTAACTCAAAAATATTTCCCTGATTATATTGAAAGGGCAGAGAAATTATTTAAGAAACCATTGCAGTGGAAAATCTTTTTAAGAGATACACCTTCTAGAAGTATCAGATAACAGTTTGCACTCTGGGTTTCCATTTCTAATGACAAAATAAAATTTTTGTGTTCTTGTCTATGTGAATGTTGTAAATGAGTGGTGGTGGTTATGGGGCAGTAAAGTAGAAAAGTGGGCTGAGCGCTGGGCCTGAAGTCAGGTATCTCCTGAGTTCAAATCTGACCTCAGACAGTTTCTAGCTGTGCAACTCTTATTGAGTCACTTAACACTGTTTGCATCAGTTTCTTCATCTGCAAAATAAACTGGAGAAAGAAATGATAAACCATTGCACTATCTTTGCCAAGAAAACCTCAAATGGGGTCACAAAGACTTGAACACAACTGAATAACTGAACGATAGACAATCCACCTTTTTAAACATTATTTGCCAAAATTTGTTTGTTTGTTTGTTTTTTTACCAATGTTACACTATATAGGCAACACAGTTTTGGAAATGCTGGCCAGTAAAAAGCCAAGCACAGAAAGTCCCAGTGGCAGGTTAGTAGATACACTTGTGGAATTCAAGTAACCCTTTACAGGCACTCAGAAAATAACTTAAAGCTGCTAGCCCTTACCTTTTCTCATGTGACCACTGAAAAGGTAACTGACACAGCCAATCCCACGCAGCTGATAGATGGAATTCCAAGTCATCTAAGAGTCACATTCTTATCTAAACCCTCTTCCAGCTGTAATTATTTCTGACATTTGGCCTTAAGTAGATGTGGTTACCGGCCCCACTAGCTTTCTTAAGGTAACATATATGCTTCTATCAATTAGGAATTGGTTCATAAATCATCTTTTCCATCCCCAGAATCCAGAACAGTGCCTGACACATTATTATTCTGTTGTGCCTTACTCACATCCCACTCTCTGTGACCCCAGTTGGGGTTTTCTTGGCAAAGATCCTGGAGTAGTTTGTCATTTCCTTCTCCAGTTCATTTTACAGAAGAGGAAACTAAGGCAAATGGCATTGAGTGACTTGCCCAAGGTCATGCAGTTAGTAAGTGCCTGAGGTTAAATTTGAACTCAGGAAGATAAGTCTTCCTGACTTCAGGCCCAGCATTCTGTGCACTATGGTGCCCCCTAGTTGTCCCACCTGACATATAATAAGGGCTTAATAAAAGCCTGTTATTTGATTAAACTCCTTGATTAGTTCAAGGTATACCAGGATGTAGGGAACCATGCAGGATAGATTTTTATAAATATGGGGCACTACGTCTATTTTCTAATGAATGAAGGTTGTATCACCTGATGACCCTCTTGATTTTTATATTTGAGGCAGCCATTTTTGTAAAGGGAGCCATCCTCAGAGTATGGAAGCACTGGATTCACATACTGACTGTGCTGCATACTGGCCCTCCTGTTTGACCATGAGAAAGTCATGTAACCTCCTCCCTCCCTCTGATCATCTCTCTATCTCTCTCTGTGTCTGTCTCTGTTTCTGTCTCTAGCTCACTTTCAGAGAGGAGGCAATAATTAATAAATGCTTGTTTGAGTTGATTTGGCTGTATTTGAACCATTCCCCAAGAATGAAAGAAATTAGTCATACCTGTACTTTGAGTGGTTCAAAGGTGTTAATGGGGTGGGTGAGGCCATATGAAACCTTTTCATTTTCTGCTTCAAATGTTCCTGGAAGAGATATTTAAAGAGTGAAACTTGAGAAACCATTCACTTCATTTATGCTAATAAGAATGTAAATTTGCTTGCCTGATTTCCATTAATATTACTTACCAAAAATTCTATCCCAAATAATAAGGGTGCCAGCAAAATTTTTGTCTATGCAATAACGGTTTCTGCCTAAGAGACAAAAATTTAAAAATTACCACCAGAGACTGAGAATGAAATTAAAATATTGAAACAGCTGCTAGCCTGGCCCTGTTAAATACGTATGTAATATCAAGACTTCAGAAATACCATGTTTTTTTTTTTCTTCTGGGGTTGTTGCTTCACTAACAGCAATGTACTGAAGACAAATGCTTAATATAATTCCATTTCTGGCTATTGTGCTTATGAAGTGTTTTTTTCCACAATAACACAGTAAGAATTCCTAATGCAAACAACATCTTCATCACAGAGCTGAGTTCAGGAGACTGAGACTCAGAAAAGTTATGACTTGCCCAGGGTCACACAACTGATAAATGTCAGCCTCAGGCCTTTCAATTCACAACCAATTTCAGCACACTACACTGAATTTCTATTCAAAATATATTGAGTCATGATTTCTTATCTCTATTTTTTTTCCACTTAAGTCTAATGATATTATTACACATCATTTGTTTCTGTAATTTTCAAGCTTTTTGTCTTAGACCATGAACAATAATCAATCTTGGAATTTTTTTCCACAATTATTTAAATACCTAAGGATTTTTTTAAAAGTAGAAGTTCACATTTATTGGCATATGATTTGGAAATAAGACAAAGCACTCTTAGTTTTTGTCCTTCATGCTTGAAGAGGAGTAAAGTGACCACTCTGTTGGGGTGGAAGTGCTGTGCATGACTGTAGTTGATTCAGACCACCATGAGCTGGGAAGGCTTTACACAGGTTGGGCGCAAATAGTCCATGTAAACATTTGTAGTGGAGATGTTTCTAAATATGCACAACTCGTATTTCTTTTGAGTCACTGCAATTCTGCTTTGTTCATGGAGCACTGGGCTTTCTTTGATGTGGGTGATCTATGCCAGTGTCTCCCATGTTTCACCATTGACTCCAAAGTTCTTTAGAGAGACCTTGAGAATGTCCTTGTATTGCTTCTTTTGTTATTGCTTGCTTTTTATTGTTTCATTTAAACATATATGCATGTTTGTATGTATGTATATTTTCTTATTAAATGTTAACTAGTTGTCTTTTATTAATTTACTTATTTTTGGTTTTCAACATTCACTTTCATAAGATTTCAAGTTCTAAATTTCCCCCTCCTTCTCCTCTCCCCTCCCCAAGAAGGCATGCAATCTGACATAGGCTGTACATGTATAGTCATATTAAACATATTTCCACATTAGTCATGTTGTAAAAGAAGAATCAAAACAAAAGGGGGAAAACCACAATAAAGAAAAGAAAAAACAACAACAAAAGAAAATAGTATGCAGTATGCTTCCATATGCATTCAGATTCCATAGTACTTTCTCTGGCTGTGGATAGCATTTTCCGTCATGAGCCTTTTGGAATGTCTTAGATCATTTCATTGCTGTGAAGAGTTAAGTCTATCAAAGGTGGTCATCACACACTGTTGCTCTTACTGTGTACAATGTCCTCCTGGTTCTGCTCACTTCACTCAGTATCAGTCCATACAAGTCTTTCCAGGTTTTTCTGAAGTCCACCTGTTTATCATTTCTTATGCCACAACAGTGTTCCATTACATTCACATACCACAATTCATTTAGGCATTCCCCAGTTGATGGGAATCCCTTCAAGTCGCAATTCTTTGCCATCACAGAAAGAGCTGCTATAAATATTTTTTGTACATATGGGTACTTTTCCTTTTTGTTTGTATAATTTCTTTGTGTTTTACTTCTTTTAACCTCCGTGTGAGCATTTGCCTTGTGTGACTTCTCTGGGAAAATAACCTTGTAGACAAATGTAGACATTTGAACATCATGGCCAGCCCACTGTAGTTTCCTCTCTGCAATTGAGTTTGAATATTTGGAAACTCATCTCAAGAAAGGACCTCAATGTCCAGTACCTTATCTTGCCAGGTGATCTTCAGAATCTTCCTAAGACAATTCATATAAAACTGATTCCATTTCCTGGCATGCTGCTGACATAATGTACAAGTTTCACAGGCATGCAATGAGGTCAGAACAATAGTTCTACAGCCGTTCAGTTTGGTAGCCAGCCCAATACCTCTTTTCTCCCACACTTTCCTTTGGAGCCTCCCAAACACTGAGCTAGAGCTAGCAATGCATGTTTCAACTTCATCATGACTGTGTATACACCACTGGAAAGTATGCTGCCTAGATAACTGAACTTATGCACAGCATTTGACATTTCTCCATTAGCTGTAACTGATGGTTCCACACATGGATGGTACAGTGCTAGCTAGTGGAGGACCTCTTTATTCTCGGTATAAATTGTCAGGCCAAAATTAGCACAAGTGGTAGAGAATCGATCCTCAGCCTCAGAGGCTGCACTGAGTGCATAATCATCTGCAAACAAAAAGTCATACACCAACTCTCCCTTCCCTTTAGTCTTGGCTAATAGTCCTTTCAAGTTAAGTAATTACTATCAGTTCAGTAGCTGACTTTGATGCCTTTTTTTTATCGTTCCTGAAGGTATCTGACACCATCACTGAAAATATCATTCTAAAAGGCATGGAAGCAAGCACACAGTCTTGTTTTACCTCTCCATTGCCTGGGAAAGCACAAAAGCATTTTCCATTATGCAGAACCCATGCAAGAATGCCATCATGGAACTGGTGTACAATACTAGTGAAATTCTCTCGGAAACAAGATTTTGCCATTATCTTCCACAAGCCCTCACAATTGACAGTCTCAAACTCCTGGTCAGATTGATGAATGTTTTGCACAGACCTCTGTTCTGCTCCTGGCATTTCTCCTGGAGTTGTTGGGGCAGCAAACACTGTATGGGCTGTTCCTCAGCCTTTTCTGAAGCCACATTGGCTCTTTGGTAGACGACCATTTTCCAGGCAAAGTATCAATGTCTTCAGGAGGATTCTGTCAAGAATCTTGCCAGAATTCTTTCTCATGGTTTTATTTTCTTTTGATCTGTTTCTTCTTCCACAATTGTGATGAATATGGGAATATGTTTTACATGATAGCACATGTATCAAACTGCCTACATTTTCAGAAGAGGGGAGGGGAGGGTGGGAGTGAGAAAATTAGGAACTCAAAATCACATAAAACTGAATGCCAAAAGGTTTTCTTAATATGTAATTGGGAAAAAAAATCATTTCATCCCCAACAACAACAAAAATAATATTACCAGCAATGCCTAAGAGAGATGACCCCTTCCCATGATTGTCAGAGGACAACCTATTCCCTTTTTGTTTATATAAATGGACAATAGAGTCATCCTTGAGCTCCCAGAGGATAACCTCATCTTGCCATAAAATCCAAAAGATTTCAGTTAGATTTTGGATGAGTAGTGGACACCGTGCCTTATAAATCTCAGCTGGAATAAAATCAGCACCAGATGCTTTGCCACACAAATGTAATATGATGGCATTCTAAACCTCTTCTTCAGTTGGAAGTTCAGCTAGTGAAAGATTGACTTCAACCTGATGTATATAGTCAATGACTTCAGCATTGTTGAGGGGTCTCAACAGGTCTATTGAGAATACTATGGGAGTTTTCAGCCCATCTCTCCAGGTTCATGTCTTTGTCACTAATCATCGTAGTTCCATCAGCTCTGGATAGTTGAGAGGCAACATAGATCTTTGGCCTATAAATATCCTTCAGGGCTTGTAAAAGTGCTTTGGATTGTTACTATCAAGCATAAAACTGAATTTTATCTGCCTTCTTACCAAACCTTTTCTTTAACCTTCACCTGCACTTTAATTTTGATGGAGTTAAATGCTGCCTTCTTAGAGAGAGATGGAATATTCTGCTGTAAACCCTGTGAAGTTCTCATTTTTCATTGAGCAGCTTCTAAATTTCTCCATCATTTTTGTCAAATCAATATTGATGTTTCTGAGTTTTGCCTCAAATGAGTGAATACAATGATGTACATGAAATGTCTCTCTGAAAGCTGCCTATTCAGTTTCTACTCCACTCTGTTGCCAACTATATGTTGTCTCAGCTTTCCCTATGAAGTTAGCAACAAACTGTCCTCATTCAGAAAAGCACTCTAATCTGTTGACACTAAGTCTTCTGGTACTAGTCTTGCCTTGGGGCCACTGTTACTGTTGAATGTGAATCTTTAGCTGGGAGAGGTTAAGTGATTAGATTAAAGAGGGCAGCTAGGTGGGGCAGTAACACCAGACCTTAAGTCATGAAAACTCATCTTCCTGAGTTCAAAACTAGCTTCTGACACATTATCTGTGTGACCCTGGGAAAGTCACTTGATCCTGTTGGTCTCAGTTTCCTCATCTGTAAAATGAGCTGGAGAAAGAAATAGCAAACCACTCCAGTATCTTTGCCAAGAAAATCCCAAATAGGGTCACAAAGAATCAGACACAACTGAAACAACTCAACAACAACAAATTTGTTTTAAAGTTAATATTGAACTGTTTATATTAGCAATAGTAACAATAACCATAATAGGAACAAATACTTATAGAAATTGAAGGTTTGCAAAGTGCTTTGCAAATGCTATCTCATTTGATAATCATAAGAGCTCTCAGAGACTCCCAATATCATTCCACTTTAATAGATGAAGAAACTGAAATTGTCTATTTTGAAAAAAATGTATAGAATCTTATGATGCAGAAAGTTGCTATGGAAAGAATATAGGATTTGGTATCATAAGACCTGTGGGATATTAGACAAGTTAACCTTTTGAGGCTCAATTTCATCATATATTAAATTAGGGGATAGGGGTGAGGTTTAGGCTACATGCTTTATAAAGTCTCTGCCAGTTCTAAATCTATTATCCACTGAGACTTGAGAAGGGTCATGTTCCTATAAGTTTTCTCCATTTGTTGCCTCAGGATAAGAAATCTCCCTTAATATTGAAGTGTCTAGATAGTTTTTGTAGCACAGAAGAAGTCCAAGAAAGCTGCTCTACAACTGAATAAGTGAAACTGTTAATCATAGGAGCCATCTCACATGTTCACACATGGCCTAAATGGAACTGCCTGATGGGGAGAGGAGTGCTCTAATGTGGTGAAGAGCATGCTGGAACCAGACTGCCCAGGACATGCTCCCATCCATGTGTGAGCAGAGCACCAAAAGGTTCTGTGCCAAGGCTTTGGGCCATTGCATGCCACTAGGAGAATCATTCTCAGGGCTACTTAATCCATTTTCCTGTTCACTTAGGCTGGTGGGGTGCCAAGGAAGAGAAGGTAAATAGACTCTCTCCTTACATGCCTTGATGATAAGGTCAAGCCAGGCACACAAGTCAGGACTGGGCTTCTTAACATAATGATCTGATTTGATAGCTGAATTCCAATAAAATTCCACAAAGGATTAGCAATAAAAGCATGTGTCCAAGTTTAAACAACAATAACACATAGATTCCATGCTCACTCACCATGGTGAACCCGATGATGGCTTGGGGTGTTGAGAATAAGTTCCAAAGGTCCAAGGTTTTCAATGACCTGTTTGAAAGCAAAGTGTTATGACATGCAGAGAAATTGGAAAAGCACTCAAAAGTATAACTGTACACATGTAAATAAGGATGTCATTTATGAAAACCCACAGGATTTAGCATGACTTCAAACCTGGCTACACATACAATGAGGAGGAAATATTCACATCTTTGCTAGAGCCATCACATGAAAGAAAGATTATATTTGTTTGCTCGATCCCCAAGGGAAGAAGATGGAGCATTGGCTGACAGATGGAAAAAGGCAAAATTGGGCTTTATGCATAGAAAATCTTTCTCCACTTAGAATTATCCCAAAGTTGAATGGACAGCCTTGGGGGAGGAGAAGAGGGCTCATCTTTCCTGTGGGTGTTCAAGGAAAAGCACATGATGATGTAATAGAAACAATAACAATGGTGTTGATAATAACCAGAGTTTATATAACTCTCTAAGTTTCACAAAACCTTTAATGAAGATTAGCTCATTCTATATTCACAACAACATAATGAAGAAATTGCTAGTATTACTTTCATTTCATAGATGAGGAAACTGAGCCTCGGAGAGGTTATGTGACTTGCCAGGGTCACACAGCCAGCAATGACTGAGTCCACTGTATGCCCCCTCCCTTCACCATCCTGCTGCCTACTTTCTGTGGTGGCATGTGAAGAAGATTCTTAACCCAGGACAGGCTGGGCTAGGTGACATTGAGGTCCCTCCCATTCTGATAGCCTCAGATTTTGCAGGTCAATATTGACATGTTCCATATAAGAATTGAACAGGATTATCCTATGAAAATTGCTTCCTGCATGAACCCCTCACTCTGTTCATACATCAGAATTTTTTCTTATATAAATTAATGACAAAATTTACATTTTTACCCTCATTGTAGCATTTGACCTATGATGTTTTAAGTCAGACAAAAAGTCCCTTGCCTTCGATTCTGTTGAACTTGCAAGTCCATTATGTTTTTCATGCATTACATCAAACCCCTAATTTTCTTGCTAATCACCCTCTCTGATTCACTTGATAGAAGGTTGGTGATGCAACATGATTATTATGGAAATGTTTCACATGACTACACACGTGTAAACTACATTGAATTGCATGCCTTCTCAAGGGGGGGGAGAGGGAGAAAATTTGGAACTCAAAGTTTTGAAAATGAATGTTAAAATTGTTTTACTTGGAACTGGAGAAAATAAAATACTAAATAAATGCCATTTTAAAAAGAAAGTTGGTGATATATTGTGAAGGGAAAATGTTCATTTCCATTTTGAGAATTTGGGCTAAAGCATTCTGGTAAGGCATGAACATTACTCCAAAGACTCTAGCTTCATTATTGTCAGCAATGCAATCATCACAGAACAGAAGCTCCTTTACTTCAGGGGTTATTGTTTGCTTTTCCAGCACCTAGCACAAGGCTGGCACACTGTATGTGCTCAGTGACTGCTTGCTGATTGGTTCATCACCACCACTGGCAGCAAACATTCTTGCAAGCTCAGTACAAGACTGAGATTTGTAAGCTGTGGGCTGTCTTGCTTAGCCTTCATTTGTAAAATGGAGATACACAGAGAGGCTAAGATATTTTTGTATGGCTTCCAGTGGCCACACTTGGCAACACTTGAATACAGATCTCTTGATTCCTAGCCCAGTGTTTTCCCCACTCTAGTACATACCTTCTTTACTTCTTGCCATGCCTTTTTCTCAGGCATGGGTTAATGATAGGTATTGTCAGGGTTACTGAAATGATGAGTTCTTCTGTGCCTAAAGGATCTGTGAATGTGTTGACATGTGTGATCCCTCCAATAATGAACAATCACTGTCAACAAGGAGTTATTTTTTTTCTTTTGCCTTTTGGTGAAGCAATCAGGGTTCAGAGACTTGCCTATGTCACATAGTAAGTGTCAAGTGTCTGAGGCCAGATTTGAACTCAGGTCCTCCTGACTCCAAGGCTGGAGCTCTCTCCACTGTGCTACCTAGCAACCCCAGCTTATATTCTTATAGGTAGGGACAAAAGTAATTGTCAGAGAAGGAAGTCTGGTTCTAGAAGTCACAGAAAAGATTAGTTTGATGCATAAGATTTTCAACTTCTATACTTTTTCTAGAAGGAAAATTAGTATTTATTTTACTAATGAGTCCAAAGCAAAAGAGTAGAAGGAGATCATACGCAAGGTAGAGCAAAGTAACTGGGTTGGGAAGGGATGGCTAGCTGAGATGTGAAGCATAGTCTAGGGGCTTGCCAGATAAAGTGATTTAGACATGTTTGATCCCCCTTTTATTCTGCACGGTCTTTCAAATATAATGGGCAATGATTTAGCAATCACATATGTCAGTAATTTGATGGGCTGTCTTCAAGAGTTGGTGTGGCCACAAGACTTATTTTGTTGTGACCAACCTCACTGATGGTGAACCTTTGATAAACAGACTAGGCTAGTCCTTGTACGACAAGCATGCAGCCCATTCCCAGGCTCGCACTTGAAATCTTTATATCTTGTGTGGCCCTGTCAGAGGTTACCCCAGGGTTAAACAACAAAAAATTACTTTCTGCCCCCAAGAGTAGATTGCTACTGAATATTGAAAAGCTCAACTGAGAAAATCACCACAGAAGTGTTTTGAAAACTAGGCAGGTCTATTCCCAACATACGGTAACATCTGCCTCATTGAGCCTTACTGAATTTCACCTCACATTCTGAAGTTATAAAGAGAGCCCCTCACCAACAGAACAGGAAATGATTGGAAGAAGTCATTGGGAGATACAGAGCGAACCTCATTTTCTAACGATCAACAGTCAATAGAAACTTATTGAGCACCAGCTATGTATGAGGTGCTACGACGGCTGCTTGGGAAACAAAGAGCAGTAGAGACACAACACCTGTTCCCAGTGAACTTCCATAGCACCACACAGCCTTTCAATTCATTAACAAATATTTGATGAAGAGGAAGAAGAGATGGATGAATGGCTAGATGGTGGGCACCTTTCGCCAACCATTACATTGAAGTATTATATATGAATCTTTACTAAACCAATGGATCTCTGGCAAAGGTTCAGATGGGCAAAAAGAAAATGATTTTCTCCTTGTTTGCCCCTCCCCGGTCCAACATGTGTTACCAAAACAAACAACAAAGGAGGAGAGGGTGGATGGAGGGAGCTAGCCAAAGGCTTCTTCCACCCAGATGTATTTCAGATGACGAGAAAGGGTGGGTGTGCTGCAGTCGCAATGAAAACAGTGCTGGAGGCAAGTACATTCAGATGACTGGAGGCTGGGCTCTGTAGTGTTTTTTAAACATCTTAAGCTTTCTTTAACTCAAAAAAACTTTACACTCATGAAGGATTAAACACTGGTGATACCAGACCTAGAGGCCTTCCAGGGCCAAATATAACATAGAGCTCCACACTCTAATTTCCTGGTCAAGTGTTCCTGCATCTTCAAGTCTCAGAGACCCTGTGGGGGATGGATACAATGAGTCAGCACCCAAGCCTCTCACATTAGGGGTCCCTCAAGCACAAAATCTGTCTTCTTTGAAGGTGAGATATAGATGCTAAATTAACACAATGGAATTTTAAAGAGGAAATTGAAGGGTGCCTTGGTAAAGGTAGCGATTTGGCTAGGAACCACACCTAGCCTTTAGACACTTCTTAGATATCTTTCCAGAAAATGAATATTTACATGACTCCTGTGGAAATCACCCTGGTTATCTACATATGCCTGTGGGGGAGGTTATTGAGACAAGGGGGTACAGTGCTAAGAATGTGAAGTTTGGAATCAGAAGACTTAGATTCGCATTGCAGGCACAGTCTATGTACCATTGGACAAATCGCTTGAACTCCCCAAACTTCAGTTTCCTTTTCTGTAGAATGAAGGGGTCAGTTCTCTATCTCTAGAACAATGGATTCTTAACCTTTTATTGTGTCATGCGCCCTTGACAGTCTGATGAATTCTATTTTTAAATGCATAAAATAAAATTCATAGCATTACAAAGGAAGGGAATTGTATCAAAATATAGTAATAAAAGTATTAAACACACTCACAAAAGTCTATAGACTTCAAGATACAGACCCCTGAAGTTATACCTTCTAAGATTCCTCCACCTCTAAACCCTAGGAATTCTTCCAATCCCACAGTCTTACTAAGTCTCTATATGTGGCTTAAAAGATCTGAGACAGAGAGAGAGAGAGAGAGGAGAGGAGAGAGGAGAGAGAGAGAGAGAGAGAGGAGAGAGAGAGAGAGAGAGAGAGAGAGAGAGAGAGAGAGAGAGAGAGAGAGAGAGAGAGAGAAGAGAGAGAGAGAGAGAGAGAGAGAGAGAGAGAGAGAGAGGAGAGAGAAAGAGGGAGAGAGAGAGAGAGAGTACCTATTGCTAAAAGGGGCAAAGGTCAAAGATATATTTTTAGTTTTACACACACACATACACACACACACACACACACACACACACACACACACACACTCACACCCCTTCCTCTTGTTTACTGATTGTTCCCCAGTGAGCTCTCTGGTCTTTGCTGGTAAAGTCCCAAACTCAAGCAACATCCTCATTTCTCCATGCATCCCTCATGGGTTCCACAGGGGAAGAAAACAGTGAATGATAAAATGCCCAGAGAAATAGTAGCTCCCCCAAGTTGGTGGTCCTCAAACCTTCCATGGCCTCATCTTATGTCCCCCCATAAAGCAGCTCCATTGGTTCTAGAAATGATGGCCCAAAGAAGAAAGCCCAAACTCCATCTGTTGGCATCCAAGGTCCTTCCTAAATTTGTCCTGATCTATCTCTATCTCCTACTCTTCTATTTTACTTGTGCTAATCCAGAAACAGAAAATGCTGCTGAGCTGTTTTCTGAAGAGTTAATAATGGGCTGTGTTATGTTGCTCATCCAGTTGTTTTTGCCTAGAATGCCCCCACCCTTCTTTCATTTCACAGGAATAGCACCCATCCTTCAGGACCGCATTGTGATGCCATTTCCTTCATGACCTGATCGACTGATCCACTTGAGTCAGCACCAAGACTCTTTGGAGTCCTTAT